TCGGAACTAGTTTAAAAGTGGGGGGAGGGGAAAGGAGGTCAGGAAAAATACGGAACTAAGTCTAGGTATTGCCCAAGCAAGCATCCCGAGAACGTATCCCAGGGTTGTTTGTTTCCCATTAAAATCTGGCATGTGAACGTGAAGTAAACAGGGATTCAAATCAACTAATGGGATATAGGGTAGGGAGGCAGGATTGTGGAACCAGTTGAAGCTATCTCTGGGAAAAGTACCAATTAAAGGTCACACTCTGGTCCAAGCAATTTTTTTTTTTTTTTACCACAATGCTAAATTTCCTAAGCTTTTAAAAATAAGCTTCACGAATGTTCCAATCAATCTAGAGAACAAAGAGAGATCCACACATATATTAATAAGGAACAAGATTTATCTATGAAAATCCCAGATTCACGAAATAACAAAACTGGGGACAGATGATTAAATACGCAAAATGTTCTCCAAAGATTCCTTTAAAGAGAACCTAACATAGAGCATCCCCCCCACCTCCCGTCATCTAGTTATTCACAAAAAGTATATAGAATGCCCACCATGTGGAAGACACTGGGCAAGCCACCATGTAGGATTCCAAGGTAGACTGGCTGGTCCCCTCACTGATCTCTTTCCTCAGTGGGTACGAGAGGGATTGCAGTGTTGCAATGGAGGTGGGGGCCCAGGAATGTACCCACAGCAGCATGGGGCGACTGGACGGAGGGAAATGCAAAAGGCTCTCAAGGGAGTTACACCTGGGATCTGCATTTGGCTGTGAAATATTGCCCTAAGGTGACTTCAGCAAGCTATTACAGGTTATGGGCGCCTCAGCCTCCTCATCTTTCAGAATGATGGGCAGATCTGTTCCAGAAGTGCACAGCTTTAATTTTCTCAGTAGGACTTATTTCCCCATGTTCTTAGCTAAGATGAACTTAATTCCTCCCAGCTCCCCAGGTTCCTATTGGAGCCAAGATCTGGAGTAGGGATCAAGCCCAAAACTTCAATCATCACACACACTTTGGGAAATGGAGTGTTCCCTATATTCCAGTGATTTCAAGGGGCCTTCAACAAATCTCAGATTAGGCTAAAGAACAAATAGCTGAGACTTGAACTTTTAGTTTTCTAACCTGAGCTTAAGAATGTCAAACAATCGGTCTAGGGCCATACCATCCTGGACACACCCCATCTCGTTCAATCTGGGAAGCTCAGCAGGGTCGGGCCTGATTAGTACTTGGATGGGAGAACATCAAACCACCAGAAAAGATATAAAGAACAATTCTTCTGTGTTCACTGTTAGGTACTGAATTGAGGTAAAACCTGGTCTTTCCTTCTTTAATTATGGAGAGTGAAACTGGAAAGCTTGGCCAATGGTAGCTTCTCCCCAGAATTTGGTTTAAGAGTCATGACATCAACTTCCAAGGCTGTTTGTTTTGTTCTTTTTTTTTTTTTTTTTTTTAAGATTATACTATGGTCTATTCTTTGGGAAAGAACTGGTGTTAGTTTATTTAAAAAAAAAAAAAAAGCATAGTTTACAATTCTGGGTTGAGTTTCCAGGGTGTTCCTCAAGTCTGGGTCTCAGCTATGTTTCTTGAGCCTGAGCTAAGAGTTTTGTTGAATGCTTACTGAAATCATCCAAATAAAGGGAAAACTCCATTTCCCAAACTGCCTGTTACACTTGAAGGTTTTATTATGTTTGAGCCCTACCCTCAATCCTGTCATGATGAGTGCAAGACAACCACAGAGGTCCTGAGAAGGCACTTCCCAGATCACTAGATTAAGAACTTTACAGGGCTCCTAGGTGGCCCAGTTGGTTAATCATCTGCCTTTGGCTCGGGCTGTGATCCTGGGGTCCTGGGCTCTCTGCTCAGCGAGGAGCCTGCTTCTCCCTCTCCCTTTGCCTGCTGCTCTGTCTGCTTGGGTGCGCTCTCTCTCTCCTGCTGTCAAATAAATAAATAAATAAAAATCTTTAAGAACTTTACAACTTGCAAGTGAGAATCGGCCCTGTAGAAGAGAGAAAAAGAAATTGCGAGAAGAACTCACAGATAAAACCCACCCAAGACAAGGCCTTTATTACAGGTAGCAGGACAACACAGAAGGGATGTCCTCAGTGCTTTCTGCAGATTCTGAACAAAAAATGTTTACCTGTAATACTGCTCTCCCACTCCACTAACCTGTTGGACATAGCTACCCTACTCTAAGAGAGAAAAACCTGACTTCAAAGCACATGTCCTAGGACCCCCTATCGGCTCTGATAATCAGTGTACCAAGAGATGGAACAGCTCAACAGTTCATGCATGCTAATGCTCTTTTATGGAGAGGGTGGAAAATGGGGGCGAGTGGCAATTTAGGGAAGGGGGAAGACAACAAAGGGCCGCAGACACAGCAAAGTCCAACTGAATGGAACAGGCAGTCCTCCTTTTAACTTCTCTGAAAGTACAGTCTGGGTTGCTGGGGGTGAACCAGTTAGCTTCTTCTGCTTTTTCTTCCCCTCATACTCTTTAAAGCTTCCCTGATCAGTCCCCAAACTCATTTGGGCCCTAATTGGGCTGGTTTCAGTAACTATGGGGTTGACCAAGGACTAGGCCTCTTGTTCCCTCCTGAAAGACTCACTGGTCATGTGTTACAGTTTGTAACCCTCACAAAGTATGCCTCTGGTCACATGAATGGATCAAAGCAAATCCATTTGCATTCTCGGAAAAGCAGCTCAAAGCACGCGTTTTCTTGATGGTGCCGCTGTCATTTCTGTGGATCAACAAACATCACTTATTGAACACTCACTCTGGACACAATTGGGGAATAGAAAGATGAGTCAGTTGCTCAAGGAGGTGAAGATACCTAGCAAGTGAAGCAGATCCTCACACGGCAAAATAAAATACCAGAAGTTTTAAAAACTGCACTTGCTTCCTCCTATCCCATTTTCTATTATGTTTGCCCCGTGCATCTCAGACGCTGGTGGTGATGACTGCAGTAGAAGGCTCTGGTTTACGCTGAGGCAGTTGGGCATCTGAAAACTCCCATCTTTTATAAAATAAAAACATTACCTTTCCTCTCCCCCACTTCCCCTTGTCAACTCAAGACTGAGTCAGAAAGTTGTACTTCATGGGTTGTTATGGGGAAAGAAAGAATCCAATCTCTTTGGACTACCTTGACCCATAATAATTACAATTACTGTTTTCTAAGTTTACGATATGCATCTAGTGTATATGTTTATCAGATGGAATCCTTACAATATACAAAGTAACTCTTATCCCTATTCGATAGGCAAGAAAATGGTGGTTTCACGTGGCTAAGAAAGCTAACACAAAGCTGTAAGAAGTGAAGCCCAGATTTGAACCCTTGTTTGTACGACCTGAAGCCCAGCCTTTAACCACATCATAATACTTCAACATATAGCACCGAAACTTAAGATGGACTCTCTTACGTTTGCAAGGAACCTTTACCCAATGCAGAATGTCACCTGTCTGAAATATATCAAAATCCCTTTTGAGGTGAAAGCTGCATCTGTCACTTAAAAGCACTACAGTGTGAGACACTCTGGAATGGAAGGATGTTGACCAAAGAAGCCAAGTTCTGTGTGTGCGGTCACAGGCAATATTTCTTTTCCATATTTGTGGTACGAAAGATAACCACAAGAACAAACTTCTTCCCTTCCTCTTCCAAAGGCAATGAAGCCTGACTTGGTCTTCAAACAGAAAAATTTCCAAGTCTCAAATACTGGGGCTCCTGAAAGATGCAATAAAGACTAGACACTATCGGGTGTATTTCAGGCAATAAAAATAGATACTCAAGCAAGGGCACTGGTAGCAATGAAAATATCGTATGTGTGAGTGTGTTGTGTGTGTGTCTCTATATAGACATTGAGTTATTGTGCATCTGTTGACAAGCATCCACTTCAAGATTGTGTTCACATACACATTTTCTCAACCATCACAGCAAGGCTGAGAGGAGGTAGGGGTACTGATTCTAATTTTCCAGATTAAAAAGAAGGCACAATAAGTTACTTGGAAAGCAAAACAAAGCATTATTTTCCAAAAATTCTAAAATTTTGACGTACCCTGGGCTTCAAAGGGGGCATGCGAAGACCTCACTTTTCTTTCAGCTGCCCTTGGGAAACAGTTTGCACACAGAATTTCAAATGTGGTGGGCGGCTCTAAAGGTCCTCTCTCCAAAGGCTTTATTTGCAGATGAGGAAGCCTGGGCCCAGACAGTCGCTGAGAGACGTGTCTCGGGAGTGACAGAGGCGAAATCTGACAGGTCTCCTGACTGTTCCTATGCCGGCCAGGCTCCTCTCTATGGCAGGACCTAAGCACAGCATGTTAATTACTGATGTGAGAACGCAGACTGCCGTTCCCTTCCCCAGTCCCGCCGCGAGGGCGGGCGGGCGCGCCCCAGGCCCACCTCGGGCAGCCCCCTGGGTGCCCCGCCACCGCCCCGGCCGCGGCCCCGGCCGCCCCTTCCCGCACCGCGCCTCAAACCAGACGCGAGCGCCGAGGAGGTCTGGAGGTTCTCTAACAACAAAAGGCAAAATTTCGTTCCCGGGGATCAGAATGTCCTTAGGGAGCCGTGGGGTCTGCAGTACGACCTCGAAAAAGAGAGGCCTCTCCTGCAAAACTATCCAACCTGGAGGCGGCAGGGGTGGAGGCCGGGCGGTCTGTTGGGCGCCCCGCTCCGGCCCGGGGGTGGGGGCTGAGGTGGACGACCCCAGGCCCGCGGTCGGCCCGCAGAGGCGAGCGGCAGCCGGGGCAGGCGGGGTCCTTCCTGCCAGGAACTCGCCCGTCGGCGCGCCGCGGGCCAGCCCTTCCTCTGCTCCCCTCCCCCCGCACGCCCCCTCCCCCCGCCCCAGGCCCTTTCCCTTTCTTTCTTCCCCGGCCCTCGCGCCCCCTCCCCGACGGCGCCCGCACGACCGCTCGCCCAATGGCAGCCGGGCCCCGGCGCGCATCAGCCGATCCGCCCCGGCTCCCGGCCTCTGGGAGCCAATCAGGGCGCCGGGGGCGGCGCGGGCCGACGATAAAGAGTGCGGGGCTCCGAGCAGCCCCGCAGAGCCGAGAATGGGAGAAGAGTGGAGCCTGTGAGCCGCAGCACACCGGCCTACTCTCCTCGCCTCACCTCGCTCTCGAGGCCTGCCCGCCCTGCCGCTTGTTCGCCGCCCAGGTAAGCGCGCCGCCGGCCTGGGGGCTCGACGTGGTGCGCGCCGCCCCTGCAGCCCCCCAGCCCCCGAACCTCCCGAGCCCGGCCTGCGGGCCCCGTGGCTCGGGGCAGCCCCTTGCACCTCCTGCTCCTACGGTGCTCCTCTGCCCCCAAGCCCTCCGCGTGCTTTCGCCGTCCCCGGCTCCCGGAGGCTCTGGGCTGGCGATTGTGGGGTGCGCTGATCGCCAGGCTTGGAGGAGGGCGGGGAGTTGTTTTGATCTTTCTCTCGCTGCTCGCGGCCCTAAGCGCCGCCCCTGGAGGTCGCTCAGCGAGGCGAACGGTGGAGCCACTGCTCGGCCCAGCGCTCCCAGCTCGGCGGTGTTGTGTGTCTGCGGATGGAGTGGCTGGGTGGCCCCACGGGAGCCTCGCTCTCCTGCTCCGCGGTGGCGGGCCTTGGGGGATCGTCGTGGTCTTGAGGATCTCTAGACGCCTACACTGAGGCGAGTGGCCGTGAGCGTCGCTAGTACGGGCCGCTGCTGCGCGGGGTCCCGGGGGCCTTGCACTGTGACTGAACAATGGGGAGCCCGAGCTGCGGCTTGGCCAGCGGGCGCAGCGGGCGGAGAGGTCGGGCCGGGCCGAGGCAGCGGCGGTGCGCTGTCTCCCCGCCCCCCCCCCCCGCCCTGACTCCCCGACTCCCTCCCAGCCTCTGCCCTCGGAGGGTATGGCTCCTTCGGCCAGGCCTTGAGATCCGGACGGGGGCCCGAGGGGCGGGGCGCCGACTTTAGGGACATTTCGGTGGGAAAGGGCTACCCTCAAAGTGGATTATCCCAACTGCCCGGGGGGCGGGAAGCGGGGAACCTCCCCCAGCCGCAAATCCGCCAAGACCACAAACAACGAAGATGAAGACGACGTGGAGTCGCGGTCCTCGGAGTCCCCCTCCAACTGCTTCGGCTTCGTCGCCTACTCCATGAACTCCGGAGAGAAATCACGAGTCAAGATTAAGACCGTGACCCACCAGCCCTCGTATTCCTCCTCGTCCCGATGCGATCCCGAACGCTCCCTGACCCCCTCTCCGTCTCCGTCTCCCTCGCCCAGAAAGCTCCGGTGCATGGACCAGCGAGAGCCAGAGAACCAGGAGAGGCGCGAACGCACCTCCAAAAGGAGAAGGGCCAGGGAGGGCTACCCCAACGATCCGATTGACCTTCTGTGGCTGGGGTGAGTGAAGAGACAGGGAGGAAGACCCCGGAGCCGGCGACAGCTGCAGAAACAGCTAGGAAGTCCAGAATCCCATTTTTACCCTACATAAACTCAGGGCAATGGGTTACCAGCCGATAACCGTAGACTAGAATGTTGGCATCCAACTCATCTCACGGAAAAGAGCAGGAAGCCTGGAACTGAGGCATAAAGGGATAAAGTGTGGCTTGATGTTGTTGGTGTTAACAGGTTGGGGAGGAAGGCCAGAGACTGGGTTGTAGACTTTTTAGTGGGAGCTGAAGGGGTCAGGTGTTGTTCCTCCTGGCCTTTAAAGGCGGGGGTGGGGGAGGGTTGGGGGGCAGTGCGTGACCGAGACCTCTGCACGCCTGGTACGCAAAGGGATATGGAAAAGGACCGGTTCTGCAGTGCAGTGTGGGAGATCGGCCGGTGGAGGTTCTGCTCTTCCCCAAGGGAAGGGGTGAGGCTCCTGGAGGGAGAAGCAGTTCTGTTTTCAGCTGGGCAAACATGGACGGTTGCCCATAGAAACTTAGCCACTGTACTTCAGAAAGTTGCCCAAGTCGTTGGGGAACAAAGTGTTCCGTTTCCATCCACTCTGGGCCACTGAGCTGGGGGGTGGGGTACAACATTTCCTCTTGTGTTGGGTTTCTCTTCTTTCAGAGGTTTTGTGGCGGTGGCTTGCAGTTTTTAGCGTGCTTCAGCTTTTGAAAACCCAGATCTTTTTGTTAACAGAAGTGGGAATTTCCTCATTAAAGTTCTCTGGAATCTGAGAATGTCCGTTGCAAATGTAAATCTGCCTTCCTAAGTGAGAAGACCAATGGAAATGTTGGCAGTGTGCATCTTAGAATCCAATGTAGATCAGATCTTTTGATACCTTGGGGATTTGTAATGCCTGCCCTGCTCTCAGGAAGCCCATCAGCCTTTTGAATCTTCTGGCTGGCCCCCTTGTTTCTTCTTCCTACTGTCTCAGTGTGTGGGGTGCTTTTGGGAGAGGTGGAGGAATCTCCAAAAAGGGTTTTTCACAGAGGTGCTGGCTAGGATGCAAGGAAAAGACAAGACTGACCCAGACACCATAAGCAGCCAAGCTTTTCTGTGGCTGAATTTTACTTGTATTGGGAAAGAGCTACCTTCTGTAAACACTCTCTTTCTGAACTTCAGTGTTTTGCCCATAAAACACTATATAAAAAATAAAACACTTCCCCTACCCTGGCTACACTGAGAAAATAGAGCTTAGTCCTCACAAGGGTGGATTCTAGCTCGAGGAAGCCTAGAGGGAGATTTTTGTCTAATATAAAAACTTAAATCCCTCTGAAAGCAGCATGAGTTAACTATACCCTGGAGAGTGTGGCTTCCAAAGGGAGGGGACGACCTTCCCATTGTGACTTTTTGCTTTAATTGTCCTCACTGAGTCATTCCTGCAGAGGATCAGTTTGGAGTCAGTTATCATTGTTTGGTCGGTTCTTCTCCGCAGAACACCGTCCACCATGGCCACCTCCGCGAGCTCCCACCTGAACAAAGGCATCAAGCAGTTGTACATGTCCCTGCCTCAGGGTGAGAAAGTGCAAGCTATGTATATTTGGATTGACGGGACTGGAGAAGGATTACGTTGCAAGACCCGGACCTTGGACAGTGAGCCCAAGTGTATAGAAGGTGAGAGACCAAGCAGAGTGGGAGCCATGTGGGGGTGAGAGCAGCCTGAAACCAAGCCACTTTAGATTTAGATTTGGCCACTTTATTATTCTGTTTGTCAAGCTTTCCTAAGGCAGGGTTTCTCAGACTTGAGTCGACGTTAAGCTCCTCCACTGCATCAAAGCATAGCAACAATAGACCCCTTTATTTCAATAGAATCTTCCATGCAAGCCAGTATATTGAAGAAAAAAGATTGAAAGTCTAGTTGGGGCAGGAGGGGGGGCTGGAGACTTTGCTGACTTGGGCATCCCTGCTTAGTTGGCTCTAAGGCATCCATCCCCAAGATCCCGGTTTGAAAACCACTGCTCTACCCTGACTATGCTATCTGTTTCACAAACTCTTTGGATGCTGTTTCATGTTCCTATCAGTGAGGTTCTAGATGCAAAGCAGACTCTGTAAAGTGGTTTCTAAATAGGACTGGCCGTTCATTTGTTTCTAGTTGATTCTACTTTTGGAAATTCTTAAGCCACCTGATTGCTTATCACACTAGGAGCTCTTATATAAGTTGTGACCTTCAGTTTTCAGTCTAGAGCAAGCCATAGCCCTCCTCCTTCTGGAAGGGGACCAGAGAAGAAATATCACCTCTCACCTACTTTTCGGATGGCTTACTCTTTTGATAGTATTCACACTGGAGTGAATGCATGACCATAAAATAAAGTATATAGTGTGTACCTGCTGTGTAGCAGATCTTAGACAGGAATTGGGTGGGGGGGGTACAAGGTAAGAGTCTGGTCTCTCTGCCTTCAGAGAACTCATAGTCAGCTTGAGAGATGAAGAAACCCACCTTTAAAACATAATGGGGAAAGTGGATAAGTGATAATGGGAGCACCCCTGACTAAGTTATCCTGCTAGTTGTCCATTTCCTCATCTATAGAATAAGGACATAACTTGAGCTAGAACAGTCGCTAGATGCAGTGGGGAGATGAGTTAAAGAAGCAACACAGGTGGCCTAGTAGGGGAATCAGAATCTGTTTCTCCTATTCTCATTTTTTAAATGATGACTGATTTCCTGATTATGTCAGAATATTTCAGTTTGTCTCCTTGGTGTCTAGTAGATGGACTTAGGGAAGATACATCAGTTACTCTCAGGCTGTTTTTGTGACTGTCATTTTCTTAAGGAATTGATGCAGAGTGGTCTTACTTGCCTCTCACATAGGACATTAAAGCTATGTGCAGTTGTCAAGAATTTGCATATGAATAGCAGGAGTCCTGCATCTCTGACTTTCTGGAAAGAGTGTAGCTCTTTAGACATGGAAAGGTTAAGTAAGGGGCTGTACTCTTGCCTGAAAAGCTCTGCATTTTTAACTTAATTTTCCCTTTTCTTTTTCCCCCAGAGTTGCCTGAGTGGAATTTTGATGGCTCTAGTACCTTTCAGTCTGAAGGCTCCAACAGTGACATGTATCTTGTTCCTGCTGCCATGTTTCGGGACCCTTTCCGCAAGGACCCCAACAAGCTGGTGTTCTGTGAAGTCTTCAAGTACAACCGGAAGCCTGCAGGTGTGTATAGGATAGGTATGGCTCCTCAATCCATGAATGTTGTAAAGGGGAAGGACAGGAGATTTCCAAAATTGGTCCTGGGAACACTGGACTAGACTATCTCATGTCTCAGAACTGTTTTCAGGAGTCTGGGCGATTGGACATGGCATCTCCACTCCACATTTCCTCAGAGAGGTAGTGTGGTCCATCTACCCATAGTTTCCTATTGGTTGTATAAAACAACAGTGAATTCCTTTAAATCTATCTACCGGTAGAGTTCCCCATGACCCAGCCCTTCCCGCCTGCCTCTAGATTTAAAAAAACATGGATTCTGAAGTCGGAATGCTGGGTTTGAATTCTGGATCTGTCACTTAACCGGCTGCGAATCTTGGCAAGTTATTTATCCCCTGTTCTCAGTTTCCCTGATTTTAAAAGAGGGGAGGGGGACTAAAATCCATCTCCTGTCTGGGCTCACCGATAACCTACATGTACCTCAAGGTTCACTGTAACTGCATTTTTGGTTTTTGCCTGGTGTGGCCGTTGATCCGGATTCTCTGGCCGTTCATGTTTTTCTCTCAGTGGAAGTGCCCCCCCACCCTCCCCGCTATTTAGTCTCTTGCTACACTCTGCCAGTGTGAACTTGCAGCGAGTCACTTCGTGCCTGGACCTTAAGTGCCTTTGTTTTGAGAGGCAGTACCGTATTGTGGTAAAGGGCACGAGCTCTGAAGCCAAGGTAGCCATGGACTTCCCGGTTCTGCTACATGCCCTGTAAGCTGGGTAGGCCGCCTGGTGTCTCTGAGCTGAGCTGCAGTTTTTCCTTTGTAAAACTAGAGGCTTTAAAATACTTCCCTCAGGGTTGCTAGCAAGACTCTGCTGTGGGTTTTCCTTAATGCAGAGGTCTTAAAAATGTTTTTTTGGGACATAGTTAAGCAGCTGATAATAAGTATTTGTTTTAAAGTTCTTTTCTAGCTTAGAAATTGTTTCCAGTTGAGCTCATCTCATCTTAATATTTTACTTTTGTGCTAGCCGACTTAGCCCTTCATCTTCTCACCTGGAATGGGAGGCCCACAATAGACAAATGATTCTCTCAATGAAAATTGTAGGTTTGTCTCTAAATACTTGTGAAACTAGGGATAAGTCTGACAACTAAAAGCGGCTGTCTTGTGCGTAGAGAGTTTAAGTGCCTTGACATGTGGTACTTGGGAGGTGGCCAGCATGCCGATAAGGTGCAAACTTGCTCTGTTCTGGATCCATGGTCATGGGATTTGTTTGTCACCCAGGAGTCTCCCTATAGATGTATGATTACCGCTTCTCCCATTTCCTCCACTTAGGCTGATGGGACACAAAAAAGGTTTATTATTCTGTGTCAGTTCACCTTATAGTCCACACTTCAGCTTGTGGAATCTAAAGACCTTTTTCCCAGCAGCACTGGGATTCAGTGGATTTGCCCATATGTGTCTAATGGTACGTTGACTCTTTTTTTCTAGAGACCAATTTGAGGCATACCTGTAAACGGATAATGGACATGGTGAGCAATCAGCATCCTTGGTTCGGAATGGAGCAGGAATATACTCTCATGGGCACAGATGGGCACCCTTTTGGTTGGCCTTCCAATGGCTTCCCTGGGCCCCAAGGTAAGTCCCCCCGGTGAGATGTGAACCTCCCGTTCCCTAGTTGCTTCATTGCCAAGGAAAGACTCCCTCCCCAGAGCTGACAGTGACTCATTATGGATCAGAAAAGCTATGGGAATACCCTGAGGCTGGCTGAAATAATATGGTAAAGAACCCTCCCGTTACCCAGATCCGGACATGGATATTAAGACATTAACATGGAGGGGGAAACCCTTTGGGCTCCACTGAGGTTATGGTCAAGAGGAGCCCCCTGCATGCCACACCCCCACCTCCCAGTGAAGGTAGGCATAGTGATTCCAGAGAGCAAGTGTTGAGAGCTTTCTGATTTCTGACTTTTGTGGAAAGGGATTTTCTTGGTTTCCCATCTCTTGACCTCTCATCTTCATGCCTCTGCAGGTCCATACTACTGTGGCGTGGGGGCTGACAAAGCCTATGGCAGGGATATTGTGGAGGCTCACTACCGGGCCTGCTTGTACGCCGGCATCAAGATTGCTGGGACAAATGCTGAGGTCATGCCTGCCCAGGTAAATGACTTGTTCCTCTGTAGGACGTATGGGCCAGTGGGGACTTTTGCTGGCACCCCTCGTTTACCCCGAACTTAGGTGGGTTGGAATAGAGGTGAGAAAAGAGCAGGGTTTGGAGCTTGTGAAGTGGGGTAAGAAGTTGGCATTATTTTAAAGGCCAGGCGTGTTGTTCTCTCTAGTGGGAATTCCAGATAGGACCCTGTGAAGGAATCGACATGGGAGATCATCTCTGGGTGGCCCGTTTCATCTTGCATCGTGTGTGTGAAGACTTTGGAGTGATAGCAACCTTTGACCCTAAGCCCATTCCTGGGAACTGGAATGGTGCAGGCTGCCACACTAACTTCAGCACCAAGGCCATGCGAGAGGAGAATGGTCTGAAGTGAGTGCCTTCTCCTGATGGGGCCATCTTCCTTTCTTTGCCAGCATACTTGCCAAGGGTTGGATGTGTTGGGGCTACTAAGTAAGCCGGACTTCTCCATTTGTACCTTAGCTTTTAGCACTTGGCTTTGAAAGTTGTCTTCTAATTCTCTTGTTTGTTCCTGTTGGAAGAGTATCAAAACATACTCTAGCAACAGAATCCAAGGATAGCGATTGGAAAGGGATTGAACGCTAAGACCTAATTTAAACGTGTTTGAAAATCTTCGGTATGAAATAACTTAGTAACAGTAAAAGCATGTGAATGAACTTAGCCCTTCTGGGTGGGGCAGGGTCTTTGATTAGGGTCTTTTCATTCAACAAATACCATCTACTGAGCGACCAGCACCCTTGTGAGGCATTGGGTGGGACACACAGGGAAGAAGGCCGAGTTGCTGCCCTCATGGATTATTTGATCAGTGGGGACAATGTTCTGGTGAATTGTGAACCGTCTTTGAGAGACGGGTCCCTCTATTCTTAGCTCCATACTTCTGCCCCTGCCGTTGAAGGGCACATTTCCTAGTGCCAGGTTGGACCCTCATCTTTTCTCTTTCCTCTAGGTACATTGAGGAGTCCATCGAGAAACTGAGCAAGCGGCACCACTACCACATCCGAGCCTACGATCCCAAGGGGGGTCTGGATAACGCCCGGCGCCTAACTGGATTCCATGAAACATCCAACATCAACGACTTTTCTGCCGGCGTGGCCAACCGTGGTGCTAGCATCCGCATTCCCCGGACTGTCGGCCAGGAGAAGAAGGGTTACTTTGAAGACCGTCGCCCCTCTGCCAACTGTGACCCCTTTTCAGTGACAGAAGCCCTCATCCGCACATGTCTTCTCAACGAAACCGGCGATGAACCCTTCCAGTACAAAAACTAAGTGGACTAGACTTGCAGCCATCAAACCCCTCCTAATTCTCCATCTTGCCTCCACGTTTGCCCCTCTCTTGACTGTCCTAATAGCTGTAACTCAAAGGGCGGAATATCAAGGTCTTTTTTTTATTCCTCATGCCCAGGTTAATATCTCTTTGCTTTCTTTGGCCAGGATAGAGGGATCAGGTTCTTAATCTTTTTACAACCCGCCCCCCCCTTTTTTTCCCCTGTCACTGAGGCTGTCTAGTAAGTTAGTGGAGAGGGGGTGGGGAGACATAACCACTGTTTCCATTTAATCAGGTGTGTTTGTCCAATAGGCGTAGCTATCCGGACAGAGCGTAGTGTTTGTGAAGGGAGGGGGAGGGCTCTTTCTTCGAGGTAGCTGAGTGTTGGGGGACGGGGGGTTACTTACTCTGGGGTTAGGTTAGGATTTCCCCCTCTTGGTAGGAAGTTCCGCTTTGTGTAAGGTTATAACCAACTTTTTATTAAAAGTGAGACTTAGGAGAGAACCAGGCAGGAGAATGCACCTCTGTCCTGGTACAGTGCTCCCCTTAGCTGGGGCGAGATGGCCCTTCCCTGAAGACAAGCTCAGCAGAAGGATGGATTGACCTTCCTTAGAAGAAAAAGTTCTTACTGCTTGGTCCTCCATTTATAACACAGCAGAGTAGTATTTTTATATTTAAATGTAAAAACAAAAAAAATTATATATATGGGCGTGCAGATATGTGTGGTTTTTTTTTTTTTTTTTTCCTAAAGGAGGAGGAACATTCTGGGTCACTGGGAGCCAAATTCGAGGTGAACAGTCTGGTTGGAAAGAAGGATCTCCTATTGAGTGGGGGTGAGGGAGGCAGTGCTTACAAAGCTGGCTGTCTGGGGCTCTGCTGGTACCTCGCTGCCACTGTAGGGTCCGCTGTGCTCTGCGCACTCTTCCGGGGCGGGGGGGAGGGGGGATGGACACCAGTCAGGTAACAGGTGGAAGCACGTTGTGGAAGGAGCAGTCGCCAGAGCCCCGTGGCTTTGGTTTAATAAAAGACACACACGTCCACACAGGTTTAGAAATAAGAGTTGGCTGGTCAACTTGAGCATGTTACTGACAAGGGGGGTTATTGGGATTATTTTCTGGTGGGACTAGCATGTCACTAAAGCAGGCCTTTTGGTATATTAAAATTTTTTAAAAAGCAAAACCAGAAGTTTAGATTTTAATCCTGTTCGTAGGGTTTCTGAGCCTTTGTTTCTACAGAACCGCTTGTTTGCTTCAACTGTCTCCTTCTCATGTCCGCTCTGTGAGGAGGTGGGGACAGCCCTGGAGTCAGAACACCTGTCATTTTGTATCCTGGTGTCTATTCTCTGAGTGTGAGATTCTCCTTTCCTTTGTTAAGATTCCTGAGGAGTTACTTTTTCTTTTATAATAAAAAGCAAACCCCACCTTCGTCCCTACATTTTCCCTCCTGTGTCTGGCTGTTTTCGTGTTCACGTTGGCTGCAGCAGGCCAGCCGTGGCTTTCTCTTGCCATGACGACTTCTAATTGCCATGTACAGTATGTTCAGCGTTAGGTAGCTCCCATTGTAAACAGACTGTTTTAACTGCCCAGCGCAGCACTTATAAATCAACCTAACATAAGATCTCTTCTGACTTGGTTCTTTGTGTCTTACATCCCTATGTGCCTTTTGTTTTATGTCCTACCCAAAAAGGGGAATTTTTTTTTTTTTTAAGAGACAGAGGAAGCTCAAGTTTACTTGTTCTAGGAATTTTTAAAAATCTATCCTGAGTCACGTTGCCAACCAGCTCTTCCCTGTTCTTTGGGTGTTTGGAATCTCAGGATGAAGGCATATCCCGGCCCTAGAGTTTAGTAGGAGGGTACAAACCCCAACCCTCCCCTCCTTGTGCTCCAGACCTTGGCTTTGATCTACAATGCTGTAACATTGTCTTCAGCACCCCTCTGGCTTAATTTTATAGCAGCCAGAAATATTTCAAAGGCTTCTTAGTATCCCTACTGGTGTGTTTTTTGTTTTTTTTTTTTTATGGGGAAGATTTTTTTTTTTTAATATTTTATTTAATCATTTGGGACACAGAGATACAGAGAGCACACGTAGGGGGAGAGGCAGAGGGAGAAGAGGCTTCCCACAGAGCAGGGAGCCCGACATAGGGCTCGATCCCAGGACCCTGAGATCATGACCTGAGCCGAAGGCAGGCGCCCCTCCCTACTGGCCTTGATTTCATCCTTACCCACCTGCCAGTGGTTCTTCTAAACAGCACATGTTGACCCTGTGGCTACCCTGTTTGAATCCTTCCGAGGCTGGCTGTGTTCAGGGCCAGCTAGCCCAGATAGACCTTGGACGTGCCTTTCCTGGCACTAGCCCAATGAGCTGCTCAGGATTCTCCCAAAAGCTCCAGGTGACACCTCTGTGCCCTTGTTCTTGGTCATTTTACCTGGAAGTTAGTTCTCCCACCTCACCTGGTTTATTCCTACCTTAGTTCATGTCCATGCCAGGCCAGGTAAGAGCGCCCTTCTCCATAGTGCTGTGCATGTACCTCTAGCCAAAAGCACTAGTCATCCAACGCTTTAACCTCATGTGCCAGGTATTGTGTGCAATAGTAATTACTGTCTTTAAAAGGTACTGTCCTCTATCAGTTTGGAAGTAGGTGGGTCCTGTCACAGCAAACTGAGAGATCACCATTTTCTTCAGGCAAGTGTGTATTTTGCTCTAATTGTAACCAATCTTAGATACTCATGTTTTGTTTGTTTGCCTAGGAAGGTTGGCTCCCCACATTTTCAAAGTAGGATGATCTTACTGGTTTGCTGGGTATGATCCCAGTTTATATTGGTTATTTCAGCATGATTATTAAGAGTGCCCTCTGTCACTCAGCATTCTCCTGGTTTTGCTGATAAATTGTGGGGTGTTCTTTCTATTGAAGCTGTACTTCCCTCTTCCCAGCTGAAATTGGCTTCCCTTCTCTGGAGTACCCCTTGCAGTCCCTGGGGTTGGGGGAGGGGGGGAGGAGGAGGAGGAGATGTCATCTGCAGCACAAGCACGAGATCAAGGCAGTGGCCTGAGCAGAGTTCCCCAGCAAAGATTACATGAAAAGGAATTCTAAATTAATGTGATCAGACTTAGCTGGAAATGAGTTTATTTCCTTCTCTACCCTTGCACCTAGAATTAGCTTTGACCCACAGGTCGCAGGGCAATCCCCTTGTATTTCTAAGGTTTTTTTGTTTTTTGTTTTTTGTTGTTTTTTTTTATAGCTCATTTCACAGACACTGGGTTACCTGATAAGTTATCAGTGATAGATTAAGCAGAATGGCGGCCAAGCCTGCAGCCTTAAAGAGACAGGCCAGTGTTCACAAAAGGAGTTCTCCGTTTTAAACATGAAGTTTCCTTAATATCATCCTGCCAGTTACTGGCTAGGAACTAAATGATGGCACAGGCTAATAGAGGAATGTCAGGGAGCAAATGGAGGATTCCATGGCAGTCCTTGGATGGTCACATTGGGGCCATTTAACAAGCCGGATCTGTGCTCCTGGGTAGGATCACACAGGAGTATGGAAGTTCCTGAATACACTTGTGGCGCCAAGACTTCACCTATCTCACCACAGGCTTCTCTTAGCTAATTCTAGCTATTGCTCGGCCCTCACGCCAATAAAGTCAAGTCTAGAAAGTAACTTGCTATCCTAAAGAAAGCCCATCCCTCAACAGGACTTTTTGATTATAAACTTCAGGAAGGCAGGGGTCCTGGTTTTCTCAGCACTATATCCCAGTCCTGTCATGGTGCCTGAAGGACTTGCTTAATTAATTATTTTTAAGTATCCGTTTTGTGAATTCTAAGCCTTTGGCTCTATTGGTGACATCGAACCCATGAGGTCTCTAGTGGTCTGGGGGTGTTCTAACCCAGGTCATGGCACCGAAATTAAGTTCTGTTTTAGTGACCTTAAACGACGGCTGGCTTGGTTCACTCTGGCTGGAGTCAGGCTGCCAAGAGCCTTGTGTTGCTTTATGAGTAAGTGGCAATTCATTATGTAAGTCCAAAGGCGTCAGGTAAATTGCAACTGTAAACAGATTTGAGCTGAGGAGAGCCCTGCCGTTTTACAGCTTTCAGCTCAATCACCAACCACTCATTTAAGAAAATGTCATACTTGATTTTACGATATGCAGATAAACGCACATTCACATAGCCTGTGACAGGCATACACCATATTTGGACATGCATATATGTACACGTGAGACACGCAATACAGCCACCCTACATGAACCTGTTCCCCAAGATACAGCATCTTATGAAGGAGACAGGAACTTGGGAGTATCTCTTCTAGAAGGAGCCCACCCTCAGGAGAATTCACTGGGCTGATAAGCTGTCACTAGGAGCAGGCCGGCCAGCTGTAAGTCTTCAGGCATGATTCCGCCACCAGCCCTTTCTCTGCTTCATGGGTAGGAGATTTTCAGGCACTGTCAACTTAGAAGTATTTGTCTATGGTGCACTGCCCAGAGCCCTCTGATGTCAGGAGCTGTTGTCCTAGTGCCGCTTTACCGAGGAGTGTTGGTGTGGTTGCTACTGCCATTTCATGAGTTGTTTTCTGGGGGCCCTGGACCTCAGCAAATTGTCCTCTTCCTCATGGATCTCAGGTTGAGTTACTTGCATTGTCTTGAGATGGCCGCTTGTCTCAGTGTGCTCAGCTCCTGCACCGTATCTATGGCCTTGTCGGCAGACCCGTGCACTTCCCTCCAGCAGGCATGTGCTCACGAATCTAAACTCTGCCTGGAAGCCTTTCTGCGTTTGCCTTTCAGTAAAAGTTCAGAGTAACTTCTTCCTTGTAACTATTATACGTCTATTATATTGACATTAAATGGAGGAGGCATTCAAGATACCTCCAAAATTTGATAGGCACTATTTGGGGTATTTTGGTGCAAGCACATGAATGAAGGGATCAAATCAATGGAAATTGTTCTCTTTCTCTTATGCCCTCCTCTTCTTACAGGTAAAAGAATGTCATTGGCATCACCAAGCAATATGGGACTTCTGGGCCTATCGCTACGTATACTAGCTTACCCTCAAATGATTTTGCAAGCTGTTTCGATAACTCAAATAATGTTATGTATACAGAAGTACAGTTTTATATTGGTAGAGGGGAGAGAGGAGGATTGTTTTTTGTTTGGAAGAAATGAACGCTTGTCTCTGGGAAGGAATCTGTGATTTGTTAGGAACTAAGTTTAGAGAGACAGTACTGTAGGCGTATCTACTTCTCCAGGTCTTTCTTTAGAAGAGGTCATAAAATTAACACATTGGAATTCTCCCCAAAGAACCTACCACCAGACTCATTCCTAGATGGGCTTAGGATCCAGAACCGCCGACTTGGGAACATTTTTATATAACTATATTATGACCTAGCCCACTATAGGTACTTAGCCAAGTAAGCCTTCAGTAAATGTTTATTGAATTAGATAATTAGAGAAAAGTCACTACCAATATCACCGGCTAGGGGAAGTGGATAAAAGCCTGGGGCAGGGTAGGGGGCAGTTTATTCACAAGCATCACTCTTAGGTGCTAATGGCTTGTGTATGAGTTGCCCCACTGCTGCAGTTAATCCCAAAGTACCTGGTCCAGAAATATCTTCTCCCTCTTCCAAAATGCAGAGCCTTTTGGGGTGATCGCCCCAATTGCTATATCCTAGTAGCAGCTGAGTCTTCCAGGTTATTTTCTTCCCCTCAGGAAGGGATGAGATTCCTTCCCAGATTTAGAATTCTGTGCTATGAACCATCATCTCCAAAACTGAAATAAAGCAGTTCAGTCTTAAATTTGCTTTCTTGGAGGATAGGAGTGATCTTCCAGTTTATGATTACTTATTTGCCATCAGCGTTCTCAGCTGAACTCAGAAAGTCAGATATGTTAGAGAAGTCTGAAAGAAATGACCAAGCCATATCTTAATACAGCATTTCTTTGGGGAGAAAATTATGAGGTGACATTTTAGTATGAGTAGTAATAGGAATATTTAACATTTAATATTTAATATTCTTCCAGGTTAGAGAGAATCATTTCTCTGTTCAAAGACTCCAGCTTCATGTAGAGGCATCCTGAAGCTGGGTAGGAATCTTCCTTAGGTGGCTCGGCCCAGTGCTCTCCATCCCTGAGGGATGCCTATCATTTGAAAGCACCCTAAGTGTGTTATCTGGGATTGCATAACAAATTACCCCAAAATGTGGTTCCTTGAAACAGCAAATATTCGTGATTTCATATAGTTTCCTAGGGCCAGGAATCTGGGAGTGACTTAGCTGGATGGTTCTGCCTCAGAGTTTCTTTGGAGGTTGCAGTTAAACTGGCACGACTGCAACCCATGAAGATTTGATTAGAACTGCAGATCACGTTTCACATGACTGTTGGCGGGAGGGTTCAGTTCCTTGCCACCTGAACTTCTTCATAGCGCTGCTCAGGACATGTCTTGCCCCAGAGTGAATGAATCAAGAAAGCAAATCAGAGAGGGAGAGAGAAAGAGAGAGAAAAGAAGTATATGGAAGCCACAGTCTTTTTATAACCTAATCTTTTTTTTTTAAAGATTTTATTTATTTATTTATTTGAGAGAGAGAGAATGAGAGACAGAGAGCACGAGATGGAAGAGGGTCAGAGGGAGA